ATATATACATATGTATATATGTATATGTATATATATGTATATATATATATATATGTATATATATACATACATACATGTATGTATACATATATATCACAAATTATCTTTTACAGATATATCAATATGAATATATACGAATTTATGGACTGAGACACTTCTGTTCTTTTGATTATTAATATATATTCACCATCATTAACATTTTCGTTTATACAAAGGCACTTTATCAAGAATAGACCGAGACTTATTATGGTAATGACGCAACGGACGCAAAAAAGCACAGAGCTGTTAGAACAGTTAAGCATAAGACACTATAGGTATAAGATATACTGCGCAGACGATGCTCCCCTTCCAGCTCCTTTTTTCATACAGAGAACGATAAATTTCCACATTCTATTTCGACTTGTGGCTGTTAGGGGGCATCGTTAAGTGAAACAAACTGCGAATGATTGTAGATGATAAGACTTTACATTTCATGATAACAATCGCACGCTCAGCGCGGAACATTAAAAAGTGATGCAGGGACAAAAAGTATCATCCAGCACACAATCCCTAGTTTTCAGATTGGTACGGGGGAAAAACGCATAAGCCGTAAAATATCCATTTTCAGGTCAGCTGTAAAACATGAGCGCCAGAAGACAGTGGTTGTAGAAATGTGCGCTGAGTGTTACATGTAGAATCAGCAGCAAAACGGCATGTGCTAGAAAAGACACATTGAAAACACATTTTGGTCATTCAGATAAGTGAAAAGGAATCAAGTGATATGTATACAGAAGGGAAGACGAAGGGCACAAATTAATGGGAAACCAAGAGAATTACGCAACAGTACAACCAATAAAAACTTGACTTGGGCACGACTAAACATACCAACAGCAAGACAAACGAATGAAATATTCGAGCTGTTGCAACGCAGAGCATGCCTGCTACTTCGTGCCCGTTCGCGTTACAATTATTTCAACTGGACTGCTTGCCGCTTTTAGCATATCCACAATAGCACCTGGTGTACAATTATTCACTGCTTGTCCGTTCACTTTTTGGATTTTATCACCGATGCGCAGCGTCCCATCAATGTCTGCAGCGCTGCCGCTGCTTATCATACGTATGTAGATTCCTAGAAACAGTGCCAAATGCACTTCTCTGGTTACAATGAAGACACGCCAAAACTACGCGAAGTGATGCTGCGGAGCTCCGATGTTGTTGCGACGCGCCTGCAGCAACCCCCTCCACCGCCAGCTGCTCGCCTCCAATTTATACCCGCTACATCAATCACACACATACAACATTCCTACGAATCCGTTCGTGTGATCATTTTCTTCCAGCAAATCGTCACTATGTGCAGATCTCTCTCGTTTTCAGAATAACTTAAAGACACGCCCATACACCGAATTTCATTTCGATGACCAGAATGTTATCCTATACGAGCCATTCATCCCATGCAGCTCCAGGTACGTGTGGCGTACACAGCATAAAAACCAAGGAGGGAATTACACGCTGGGAGCACTAAGCAGCGGTCACTGAAAAAGAGACAACCAGATGAGACACGGCGCATACGCGGTCACAAAAACAGGCGTAGCTCGAAAAAACGAGCACAATGGCAACCTAGGCAAGTCTTTAGTGACCCAGAATTTCTCCTACAGATGAAAAAATGCATGAAAAAGAAAACTTGAGGAGAAAAAGGAGGCAGTGGTGCTAGCCAGTGTCTTTAAGTGCAAAAACAATGAACAAGTTGGTGAGGGAATGCTCATGAGTTCCGCTTAAAATAAGAGGATCTTTTCAACAGCCGGTACCAAATTTCTTAACCAGTGAACCCTCAAAAAGTTTCGAACTAACTGTGTTGAAATTGCCAAGACGTCTTCTGTCAACATAACTACTTCAGAGATGCATCTCACATCTATCGTAGGTTTGATAACAATGAAATGCCATCTCGGACTGTAAAACCCGGTCCGACTTTGCAGCTGCCCAAACGCTTACCACTAAAACTTTCAGTATGAGATGCAAGTGAATAACAAACCATCATATCCAGTCTTCTTTGCCAAGCTAAGACCCAGCGAACCGGCCTGAGATTTTTCGAGGACGACGCGCACCTTCTGCTCAATTTCATTACCCGGCGTAATAATCAGTTCTTTCTCTGAACGCTGCAGGCCGATTGAGACTGTGTCGCCTCCCTTTCTCAAAAGATCCACAACTTGTTGATGGGTTAAATTTTCTGTCCTCTCACCATTTACCTGCAAACAACAAACATTATACTAGGCATAATTCCATAAATCAAGACAAATCTTATTTTCTTACATTCCCACCATTCGCCTTGTTCGTCCCACTGAATTTTCCCAGTACCATGCTGCACTCTGATTACTGTAAACGAAGGATTTCATCAAAAACGCAAAGCTAGACTCACAACATCCGCCTTCACACATTCAAATTGATCCATCTGGACTTCCATGTTTTTGCATATTCTGCGCTCGACAGTCTGTACTTTTCTTCATCTTTCTCATCATCTTACTTTTTCTTATGCTTTACGGCCCTGCAAACCTCTCCTTCCTTATACAGTGGGGAGTTTAGCTCATTCATTTAAATTAAAAATGTTGCGAGTTGGTTAGCAGTCACTGCTGACTCTTATAAATTCAACGCAGCAAAACTGAAAATGTGTGGAAAATGTTTTCAAGCTCTGACTCAGGTTGGCAAAGAAAAAACGGAATCCGAGCAACAAACTGAGCTAAGCATACACGCATTAATAAAAAAAACACTACAAACACATCCAACCGTCTTCATAAGACTGCTCAAACAAAGAATGACGACAAAACCAGTAAAATCAAAACAGACCTGTACAAGTTTGTCTCCCACTCGAATATCTGAGCAAGACAGGGCAGGATCAGCAGTGATTTGCTTCACGTACACATTCCCACCACTGGAGGCAATTTGAAAACCAAGACTCCCTCCTTCATTGCGAGCAAGCGTGACGACTGAAAGACCGGATCGTACTGGCTCAACAACATCAACCAGATCATCAGCCCAGTCAAGATTCGGCTTTTTCCTTCAAAAATCACTGTCTTAACAATCAACTGCAACAGCAACGCCCACAGCATCCGGTGCACAGTGACTGAAAACACTCTGAAAGAGCCCAAATAGCAGCAATTGGTCGAAATACAGAAACTACTAGCTGAAAAAGCTGTCAATGATTCCCTTTTCCAATGGATGTGGCTCGAGAAAAAAGCCCAGCAGACTTGAAGTGCCGATATGATTTGGCAAACTTAGCAGCAGTTTTTCAATCAAAATAAATCAAGGAATTATACAAAGACGTTCTCCCACTCTCAGATTTAAAAAAACAGCTCGAGAATGAAAGAAGTCTCTTGCCATAAGACCGCATGCAACAACCACTACCAGTAATCTATCAAAAGTGCAGAGACCTGGACTGCTGGCTCACATCCTCATAATTACGCTTCTGCTGTACCACTTTCGTGCTCGCTTTTGACCAGTCATTTTCATTCGTCTTCAGTGCAAGATGTGTTCGCGAATCCACTGCTTCCGATGGCGCCTGTTCAGCCATTTCATCATCGACACCTTCAAAATTGTACATCGATGCCACAGGAATATTATCTCGAACACTGCCTTCTTCGCCTTCGCTAGATAGTTTCTCCAAACGTGAATACCTGAACACATTAAAAACATGAAATAACAAATCTCCACGTAACCTACTCCATTATGTTTTTTCTAAACTGAACTAGGAGACATGCAGAATTTGAAAATCTTCACAACAAATCCTAAAACACTTTCGTAAAGAAGTCATGTCAGATGCTGCTTCACACCCACACGGCAGTTAAAATTCTACTGACACCGCAAGCGGTCAGATTTGGACTTTAGTCACTCTAAAAGGCAGAGGAACCTAGAAGTGGACCAGACGACAAAGTTTTGTCAATAAGATGGGAAGGGGGGAGAAAGCGAGATGAGTGAGTAACTTTTAAGCGAATAAGAACATCATTTGTTTGAACTAGCGCGAGAATATATTTTGTGCCAACAACACTTACTAATGCCCATTTATTGACAGCATAACAAAAGCACTGCTTTTCGTGAAGGTGCGTTTCAAAGAATTTCGGCAAAAATCCGATCAAAATCAAAACCTTCTCCCCCCCCCCCCTAAAGCACTCAGTACGAGAAAAAAACGCACTCAGAGGCAGTCCATGTAATTGCATTTTGACAGTAGTAAACAGTCAATTGCAAGCTGTCAATGGCTCCCTCTTGCGTAAGCTGTATAAGCACCAATGCGTACGAATCAACAACCCAAGAATGCGAAAAGAAGACATTACATATAGATATTTGGTTCTGGTATGATACGGCAAATGACTTCAACCCACCCTAATCTCGATTCACTTCTAATATTTGCCAGCAAATCTTCACTGTTCAGATCGGGAAAAGCATCGCCAACGGTGCCAAAGTCGCTTACTGCTCGAGCGCGTTTCTTCGGAAGTCCTGACAATTTCCTCGGTGCTGGTGGAGTTCGTGACCTCGATACTGCAAAAAGATGCAATACTTCTCACGTTAGATTATTCACAGCCCGCGAACTTTTTTAGCAAAAATTAGAAAACAAACCTTCACTGCCAGGCAGTAAATGGACTTTGTTTTCTTTTTGGGCAATGCTGTTCGGCTTGTCCTTATTGCTGCTCGAATCAAAAACTGATGTTATTGCGTCTAATCTGTAAATTCACAATCGCTGAACTGGAAGGCCAATAGCGCAGTGCTGAAAAGCTTCTAATCGCACTCAATGAAAGGAAAACGCAATGACGAAACAGCAGCCGCTCAAAACATCAAAGTATGCTAAAACTGCAGCTGTTCACTCATATTAAACAGCAATGCAAAAACATGCACGGTCAAAAATTCAAAATTTAGAGGCTTGATTAATCGCTACGGCATGGAGACTTCAGCTGGCAAAAAAACATCAAAGCCGCAAACGCATGAATACGAGAATAAACGAGCCTAAAAATCTTCAGCCGGACAACGTCACCACCTTGTTTTACCAAATCAACCGTGGCATGCCTGTCGCGACCGACAAGCGATACATCATTAACGCTCAGTATTCGGTCCCCAACATTCACTCCCTGCAGATCAGTTATACAAAACTTGGAGTATGAGATCGCCGAATCACAAGATTTTAAAAGCTTCTAGAAAAAGAAGAATCCCTGGAAGTAGCAAAAACCAACTCCTCTTTTTCCAGCACCTCCTTCCGAAACCGATCTTACATAAACGCCTTTCACTCCATTCAGATTACCATCGACCAACGTGAGGCCAAGACCACTGTTTGGATCCTTTTCCAGTGAAATCTCCACCGTGTACCCTTCACTACTCTCAACAGATTCATCAACGGACGAAGTAGCTTCCAGATGCTGGCTACCTGAAAAATCATGAAATGCTTGGAGAAACTGCTTCCATAAAAAAAAAGAAAAGAGAGCAATCAGGAGAGTGTTATGAAAATTAACATATGACTTGTTTAAGTCGATACACGAATGCCGACATCAGCCATCTGAAGATTTTCAAAAATTTTCTCCAATCGAAAGCTTACACGAATTCACATAAATTCAACTCTCTATCATCTTTCGAACTGTCATACGTAGCCACAGTAAAATGAGAATGGCACAAAATTACTAACGCAGAGTTCACAGCGATGCAGTCGCAATCTGATGAGTCACTGAGGCAGCTTATTTCAGATAGAAGTACTAAGCTGATGACGAGATGAATTAGAGTGACTGGGAGATGAGAAACAGTCTAAGCGGATTACTGAACAGAAACAATTGACTATGCACGGACGCCGCTGGAGTGGTAACAGGCCCATATGAGATATAAAGCTGCGTTGATAAGACGAGCTCAGAAGCGACAGTAAAGTATCGACGGCGAGGTGGCGCGTACCAATGAAATAACAACAATAGCGACAACGTTAAAAAAGAAAATTTACAGATGACTGTTCGCAGTTGCATTTCAAAACACTTGATTGTGGAAAGTGAAACACTAGCCGTGAAATTTCATGGCCTTCGTTTGGCCCCCCTCAGCATGCATACTTTTGGTGGAACATAACAAAGCGGAAATGTCCCAAATCAGTGATAGCCCTTCGATCGGTGCAGGTGACAGCAGGATCTTCTTTTGTGGTGGGAAGTTGGGAAGAAGGAGTGGGAGGGAACGTGCACATCGAATATGCCTGGAACCTAGAAGAGCTACACAATTCTTGCGAAGAAAGCTGACATATTTTCTACAGCCCACTGGCTTGGAAGAAACAGACGGCAGACGGATGAACATTGGAGAACCAGTAAAGACACGTGTTAGCAAAAAAAACAACAGAATAAAACAGACCATCTGCTACGCTGCTGCGCACACTTGACTTCCCGGCTCTTTCACACTGCACTGATATGCGTTCATTCGCTGTACATTGATCACGGCTTTTAATTGTGTCAACTTCGGTTGCACTGCTAATATTCACAGCTTTCGCATAACCATTTGCCGATGAAGTCTGCAAACAAGCCTGCAAACTTTGGTTGGTTCTAGACAAAAAGAACGACGGCGCAAATCTTATGATCTTTTTTATCCAGAACCAGTCAGAGTTGCAATGGAAACACCGTATGTTGATTGCAATAACTAATTCCCATCCCCAGTCGTACTTCCACGACCTTCGTTGAAATGACACGGCCCGACAGACGCACAGCAGCCACCAGTCGAGCTTAACAGGACAAATGTCTCACAGGAACGTCATGAGAGTGCCACAACCCGCCAAGCAAAGGCAAAATTCCTCGAAAAAGCGAAAGCTCATTTTGTTGGAAGAAAAAAACTTCTCCCAAAGAGGATTGCGTTACTAAGTACATATGAACCCTAAAACACGCCTCACTGAGTTTTCAGTGGTGCTGGACTTCGAATGCAGAAATATCCAGCGTTACACAGGACATACTCTCGTGGCCTTCACGAATACCTAATAATTGTGAAAAGTTCGAGCTGCAAAAAGTATACACAAATATGAAGGTATTGTTATCCCAGTAATGATACTACGTTGCAAAATGCGTAATACTATGCACGTTAACTCTGTAACACATAAGCGTTAAAGTAAGGAACGGCTGAAATATCACTGGGGATAGTGTAGAGGAGAGAACAAGAGATACTAGTTGGAATTTCGAGGCAAAAACTGCAGTACAAACATAGCAGTACAAAGAAAGGTTGAACGTGGGCAGGGGGTCATTGCCCTAAAATTTCAGTTCCCTAGACCCCGTGGTTCCTGAGACAATAATTTACGCGTAAGAACTTCCGCTAGCCCGTAAGTGATACCCGAGAGCGCGAGAACGCTGAATTTAAATTGGCAAGGTTGAGTGTGGGGAGGGGGTCATTACCTTAAAATTTCAGCTTCCTAGACCCCGTGGTTCCCGAAGTATTAATTTACCCGTAAAAAACTTTCACGGGGCCGTACGTGTTACCCACGGGTACAGGGAGGTTGAATTTAAACTTGCCGCGTCACCCGCTGGCGGGGAACACTACGCTAAAATTTCAGCCGCCTAGCTTTTGTGGTTCCCGAGTTGAAAGTGCGGGACAAAATGTGGGACACACACAAAAACACACACACACAGACAACCCCGTGACAATATGCGTCTTGTAATGCTGTTACACGGCACAAAGTGGAAATTGCTTACCAAAAGCCCGTCTGCAGTAGCTGGCTTCCCTATCTATGAAGCTGATACTTAGGTAAAGTTTACAGCTCCCAGATTTACCTACACAGCTTAACTTCTTCGCTCACAGCTTTACCTAAGCATCAGCTTCGCAAATGGGGAATTTCTCTACTGACGACGGGCTTTTATAGGACAATTTCTATTCGTATAAACTCAGTTTTTTTTTTTCCTTTTTAAAAAACAAAGCACTTTTCTTTTTGACTGTACTGTTATTCTTGCACCTCCGGGTTGCTTTTACTTTTTTTAGTAGTGCTTTGTTTTTTTTTTTTTTTTCTCTTTCTCTTTATTGCTGGCTGCAGTTTTTGCCTCGGGCCTTGTCTTGCACCTTGTCTCGAGCCTTGCCTCGAGCCTTGTCACTCCATCCTCAAATCCTGCTTGCTAAGCAACATCTCAGCTCCTCTCTATCCCCACTATAACAGCAATCTGAAATCAAGCAATATTTCAGCCCCCAGATATCCATAGCAAATATCCATAGCAAAAACAAGGAGCATACTTCCTCCTCCTTTGTACCCATCATCTCCTCCCCCTCTCCCTTACTTAGCCTAGACAACCGTCAAGGGGTCTACGCCACGTAGTCATTCAACCCACCCACCCA